CTTAATGGTTGATAAGGAAGGACACCTTCGGAAGCTGTGGCGTCTTTTTGCATGAGTTGTTGTGTCGTGGAGCTGTTGAGATGTGGTAGTAATATTTTGAGCAATCGTGGTAGAAATGATATTGGGCACAAGAGCATGATACTCCACTGGTGAGCTATCACCTAAAGTTACTAGAAAAGAATAAGTTGCATCAGGCCTAAGGGCATTAGACTATAGAGGTTGTTTTTGTGATTGGCTAAGTGGAGGGCTCTAGAATTGTGTGACAACTTATTTCCATTGGATCTTGGCAAAAAAACTAGAGGAGCTTGGTCTATGCACCTATATAGTATGTGTGATGGTCAATTTAGAAGAAGAAATCTACATATGCTACGAACTAGTTGTGCTCTAAGATGTAAACTGATTGGCCTATTCGAAGAAGTCAGAATATGTAGAGGCAAATCCATTAGCCTGTGATGGAGACATTAACAAATTAGAGAGAGTAAAAGGCAACGTGATTTCATCAAATACCACATGACATGATAGAAAACACACTTGGTAGGAGAGTGAAGGCAACGATATCCCTTGTGGATTGGGTTGTACCCAATGAAAACACTTGCATAGGACTTGGGCTCGAATTTTTTTTTTTTTTGGAATAATCTCTCAAATAAGGAAAACATAGACAAGCAAACACTTTCGATGAACTATAACTTGGTTGTCTACCATATAATTTAAAGAATGGAGTGTCCGTTTTGAGTATGGAAGAAGGTAGGCAATTAATAAGAAATACTGCAGTGACAAATAATTCAATTCACATATTTTTTGATAAATGTGGATGAAATAACATGGTAAGATAGTCTTTGGGAGGTAAGGCCATCAAGCAGTAGTTCATGGAATTGGCAAAATATGTTAAAGCTGAGGAGTGGATTAGACCTCACTTGATCCACACGATAGGGAATGGAGAGACAAGTCTATGGTATAACAATTGGCACCCAAGAGGCCTTCTTATTTTGATTTGGAACCACAGAATTATTGCTCACTCTGGGTTACCAAAGGAAGCTAAGTGAGCAAAATTATTTCTTACAACCAATGGCAGTGGCAACAAACTCCATCTACTGATTTATGTGATATTTCAAGCACTATGCCTTCCTATTCCCCAAACTAGGCCAAAGAGGATGGTGTCAATTGGGATCCCACTGTCAATGACAAGTTCTTTGTTGCATCTGCCTGGGAAGTCATTAGGAATCCAAACCCAAAAGTGCCATGGTTTAAGCTGATTTCATTCACACAAGTTGTTCCCAGATTAAGTTTCATTTTATGGTTGGCTATTAATAAGAGCCTCAGTACTAAGGATAGGATTTTTAATCCTAGTGTGGGTGGGAATTGTATTCTGCGTAGAGGGGTTCATGAAACACATGCCCACCTTTTTTTTGTGCACCTATTCTCACGGTGTTTGGATTTAGCTACAGAACATGCTCACTCAATCTTGGGCTGCTCAAAATTGGAAAGGCAATTCTGTTTTAACAGTGTTGCAAAAATTAAGCCTTCAAGCCACAGTATATTGCCTTTGGAGAGAAAGAAACAACAGATTATTTAGGAATGAATTTAAAGATACGGATTATATTCTGCACAACATTTTTCAGATCATCAGGGATAGGATGATGTCCTTGAAATTTAGGAACTCCTATCATAATCAACAAGTGGCTCATCAGTGGCATTTAACAACCCATTGTCTTAATCCATGATTCCTCTTTGAATGTGAAGTCCCCTCTTCATGGACTCCTGTTTTTGCATTCTCTGTTTTCCCTAGAGTCAGGATTCTATTCAAAGTACCAGCTAAAGGCCGACAGTTTCTTTAGAATTTCAATCTCTTGGTTTGTTGTTGTTCTTTTGGATTCCTTTCTTTTGTTATGGGTGGATGCACACTGTCATGTAAGCATCACCCTTTGTTTTTGTCTTGTATTGTTCTTTTAGGAATATAGTTTACCTTCCAAAAAAAATATGGTAAGACCTATCTCCACTAGATGATGATGTTTACTTTCTGCTACTTCTTTTTGCTCAAGTGTTCCTGGACAAGAGATACTTTTTTGTATCTCTTCTACTACTTTGACTTGATATAAGGCATAGAGACCTCCTTGTCTATGCCTTGTTGCTAGTATCCTCCCCGTTCCTTTGTTCTTTGTCTTGAAACCAGACGAACAAAATTCATAAAGGCATGAGTTATTTTTTGTCAATTAACTAGCTGAGAGAAAATTTTTCTTCATCTCATGAACAACTAAAACTTCATCAATATCTATTTTACCATGTGAAGAATTCAATGTAGTGCTGCCAACATGGGAAATTGATAGAGAAGAATCATCACCGACTATAACCTTATCATCTTTTTTATAAACTCTTGGGATATAAAGATTATCTGCATTCGGTGTCATATGGGACGTGGTTCTAATATCTAGATAACAATTTGGATCTTGATTGTGGGAATCTATCAAGGTTGTGGCTGCAAGAACTTGTTGTATGTTTCCTTCAACATCATAAGAATAATCATAGATGTACCAGCATTTTGTAGCAATGTGACCAACCGATTACAAACCTTGGATTGATGAGCACTATTCTATTGAAACTGGGTCTAAGTATTGAGGTTTTTGCTTCCTTGACTTTGGAATGCTCCTTGATGTGAGTTGTTAGATCGATTTTCTTGTATGGGTACACTACTTCCATCTATGTGGTTTGATGCAAAATGTTGAAATGATTGTTGATTACCTCGAGCTATTGAGTTTGCAGATTGATTGGTTGTGAATCCACGACCTTTAGGATGTAAGTTGTTGTAACACCCACGATTGAATAATTTTCCATTTGTCACCAATGCGTCGAGCAGTAAATGCAAAATTTGGATTGGCATCCTTTTTTCATCTGTATTATTCACTTCATTTTGAAGATCATAATTTTGCGAGGCTGAGATAAATTGATTAAAGGTGGGAAAAGGAGGTTTGGAGAGCATGTTGGTGACAAAAATATCGCATTTTTTTCCAAGGCAGTGAGATAGTTGAAAAGTTTTGTCTGTATCATAAACTGGTTTTTGAATGGCAGCAAGGCTATCACAAATTGCCTTATACTTCTTGAGATATTCACCCAAAGGTGTTATTTCTTTCTTGGGCACCTAGAGTTGATGCTTGAGTTGAAGTTTCCTTTCTTTTATGGCTTGGAGATAAATTTCTTCTAAATAGTGTCATACCTCTTGTGAGGTACCTAGGCCGACAACAAGGTTGAGGACTGCTTTTGAGAGCGTGTCAATGATCCAGCTGCGTAGCAACAAATCTATTTGTTGCCACTCTTCATATGTTGGATTTGGGACTTCCTCTATGTCCTTAAGCACAGTTGATGCCGGTGGTTCCTTAGTGAGCTGATCCATGAGTTTAAAACTCCGAATCAAGGGTAGTTTTTGCATTCTCCATATGAGATAGTTCATAGAATTGAGCTTCACCAAGACTATTGCAATGAGTTGGTGGAGATTGGTAGTTGAGCGAGAAAAAGATGTTAATGATTCTACCATTCGTTTTTCTTCTCTTTTTTTTTTTTAATTTGAGAACTTATGACTCTGATATCATAAGGAACTCTTGAAATTAGAGTTTTAGCTCATAATTAATTGTCAAGATATATTGTAATATATGAGCCAGTCATAAGTAAAATACAAGAAGTGTAAAATATATCCTAACAAGTCATATGAACAATGAGGACGTATCCAAGATCAGTTGAATCTCTTTCGATAAAATAATCCTCTTAACATAAGGAAGTAATGTTCCTTCAACTAAGGGGCATGGTTCTGAATGCAATGACCTCCGTAACGGTAACGGTAATATTGTAACGAACACGAGATATAACGAACGTTACGTTACAATAACGAAAATCGAATTCGTGAATTTTAAATTTTCATTCACAACTCCTCCCAAAAAACTGCTTAAATATTAGTTTTTAGGAGTTTATAGTATATTTTATTGTATCATTATAAGTTACTTTAGTTCTTAAAGGTTTTTAGCTTATATCTTAACTTAAACATGCAATTTTATAGTGATTTTAAGCAAAGTCGGAAGAAGAAATTAATACTCATTTAACCCACATCTTTTATACAAGAGAATTGTTGAGCAATACCCAACACGCGTACAACAGGTAGGTTCTCCAAATGTCCAACTATGCACTCAAATTTGGGCAAGTGGCAGCCTTACCATTCACACCCATACCACCTGATCTGAAGTGGGGTTTTGCAGAAGTGGAAAATGTCAATTTTTCCCTCTCGTTATCTACCCATTTTTCGCCCCCAAAAACTTGCAGCTGATCAACTACATGGAAGAAGAAACGATGGAGGAAATCACCTTCCTCGTCAATAAACTCTGTGGTTCTTTGTGGCCGCTGCTGCTGAAGAGAGGGCCGGTGCTGCCGAAGAGAATGACTGAAATCGGTATTGATTGGTGGGCTTCATTTATTTTGTGAGGTTTTTCTTACCAAATCTTGTTGTTTTGACTGAAATTCGTAACATTTATCTGGGCACAGCTTGCAATTTGAGTTTTTTTTGGAAAAATTGTTACGATTTTGAGTAAAATTAGGAAAAATTGGGCAAAACTTAAACGGGTAGACCCGTTTCAACCCGGTAACCACTGTTACGACCCAATAACGGCCGTTACGTATGTAAATTTTATTCTATCCATAACGAGAACAGGACCTGTCGATACTGTTACGTAACGGGCGTTACATAACGTAACGCCCGTTATTCAAAACCCTGCTAAGAGGCTCTCTTGTGATTAATCAAATCCCTAAGGAACCTAATAATCAAGGACGGATTTATTAGTGGGTTAAGGTGGGCTGAAGCCTAGAGTAAAAAATAATAAAAATTTACCACTAAGTATCAGCCCACCCCAACTCCCAAAAAAAATCTCATCCAACCCAACCCAACCCAGCCACCTGCAAAGCTTCCCCAAAATCAACCTAGGACCTAGGTCATCATTCAAGGTCTTCTTGGAGGTGGTTAAGAGGCGGAGCCGCGGAGCTTACCTTGGGAAGATGTGGAAATGGATGTTCCTTACAGCTGATACTAAGAGGATCTTTGCAAGATGAGATCGTAGATGATTCCAAAATGATCCTGAATGTGCCATTTGTCGATACTAGTATAGAAAGAGTGGATGAGCTCCGTATTGTGTCGAACGAAATGGTTCAACTCATTGAGACAGCTTCAGTCCCCGTCTTGGCTGTTGGTGCCTCAGGTAATATACTAATATAAATGGGTGGAATACTAAAGTAGCTGAGCTGACTGGATTGGCTGTGCAGCAAGCTATTTTTGCAAGGTAATTACTATGTTTGATTTATTTTTTATTTTTTATTTTTTTTCCTTTGGCTTGCGTTTCCATGAATTAATATTGTGGTTTGCTTGATTGATTTTTATAATGAACTTTTTCCCCAATATTAAATGATATACTTTAAATTTTGCTTGTTCTATGTGGAAACCACGAACATTTTAATCAAACAAGATCCTTTCCCACCAAAGTTCATTCATAAGAAAGTAAAAGAGAACTTACTGGACAGTTAGGTGTCTGTTACTCAAATTTTAAAGTAAACCTTTGGAATCTGATCAAAAGCTTTTTTTAATGAGGAAGTCTAGGCATGCAAAATACTGATGTCCTTTGTAGTTACTAGCTTCAAATTTAGTATAGACACGCAGGCATGCCAAGTGTTGACCCAGAGAAGATTTGGAAACTCTTGTTGGGCTATTTGAACTCGACGAAATCTATGTGGGAAGAAACTTATTCCAACAGGTCTTACTAGCTGTTCTATGGCAGTGTTATGAGGTAGTTTCTCTGTTAAATTGTGACCCCCCCCCCCCAAAAAAAAAAACAAAACAAAACAATTCTTTCGACCTGTTAAATTTTAGTGGTTTATGTCCTAAATTAGAATTACTTAGTGGTACATTTGGACTCATGCTGATGTTTAACAGGAAACTTAAGACTCATAATTGTGCAGTTATGAAAATAGTCAATTTGAAAGGAGATGAATGTGCAATTTGGGTATGATATGTTCCTAGGTGATTTTTGGGGCAGAGAAACATAAAATTAGATTTGGTAGTGAAATGTGTGAGGCCTAGGAATATCTATATGTTTGTATATGTTATAATGTTTAGTGTAGTGTTGGGTCCTTAAAAGAGTCCAATTTCATTAGTAAGTGTTTATGAGTTTACATTTGTATTATTGAATATATGTTTATGAGTTTACATTTGTATTTTATTAGTCGTATGAATGCTTAGTTTAACCCGGGATAAACAAAAAACCTGGCTCCGCCCTTGCTGATAATCAAACTACAAGAGTGTCAAACCCAACAAACGGCACATCGTTTCGAGTTTCCTAGAGAAAGTTATTGCTATTCCACTACAAGGTATGCAGTCTGCCTTTTTAAAATGAACATTACTTTTAGTCTTCCTCTTCTTTCAAAACCTCACCGAAATTCCCTCAAATGCATTCTAAGGAGGTTATCCACGAGCAGCTGAATGTAACCACACTTCAGTTTATTTGTTTAGTGTAATTTAAATGCACTTCTCTTATCACCTTATGCCTTCATGAAACCATAACACGAAACTTTTATTCCTACTTCTATAGCTTTCCCTTGTTCAGTTACTATACCTTCATATAGAAAAAGGAAGGCTTAAAATAATATAAAGATTCAGGTATCATAAGCTGAAACATTAAAGCTTACATATTAATCTAGCTACATGGTTGATTAATCACAAAAACTATGTTTCAGTAGCTATATTAGCTAGAACAGTCCGTACATATGAATATTCTCTAAGAACAGTCCGTACTTAAGAATATTCTCTTAAATCATTTACTATACAACATGCATCATGGAATTAAGATTATCTCTATAACGCTTAAAATAAGCAATCTCCTTAAGTTTACTGTAAGTGAATAATAAAATTAAATTGAACATTGAAGATAACTTACAACAACTTTGTACAAAGACCAACTCTATTCACGGTTTGAGCTAGAACCCATCGATTCTCTCCTGCCTTGCTTCCGGTTTAACACATACACACTCATATATACATTTTTTCTACTGTCCTTCTTTCTCGGTTTTTCTAGCAAAACCAGAACACACACTGTTTTTTTTTCTTTTAGACACACCCACACGGCTACACTGGAATGACACACACGTCTTCACTCTAAAACACACATCCACACTCGACACTCACACACTCGGCCACTTAACAGCCTCACTTGACTCACCCTTTTCACCTGCACACATGTAAAGGTAAGCCATTTAATTAAGTAATTATACTCGCCTCCCCTCAAGGTTTAAAGTGTTTTTTAAAATCGACCTACTATTTTTCCCACACATGCAATTCCTATAAATGAGGCTCACTAATTCATCACAAAAGGGGTCCACATACTAAATATATGCTATGGTTATGAAAGATTCAATTTAATTAACCCTTTAATATTTTCACATAATTTTAATGTAGTCCACATAATTATGCTAATATGAATGTCATGCATGCTCGGGTCTCACACACAACATATGCACTTCTGCCATAAAGATGAGCAGGAAAAAATCTCCTTTTGGATATTTTCAAAATAAAAGTGCTAATGAGTCACGCAATATGGATTGTTTCTACCCATTGAAATTCCTTCATGGGGTCCCCAATCACAGAAGTTAAGTCACCTCCCTAGGTGACTCCCTTGTGGGGTTAAGCTCATCCCCCTCGACAGTTTTGAGATAGCTTTCCTCGAAAGCCCTTTAGTTAGCTGATCAATTATATTTTGCTCAGACTTCACAAAGTCTAGTGAGATTATGTTTTTACTCAGCATTTTCTTTATTAATTTATATCTCACTTGTATGTGTCTATTCATCTTTTTATTATTATGATTTTGTTTCACAATGTGACGCCCCAAAATCCGGGGGTCATTTGTAAACCCATCAACCTGCAAAAATACTCGTGATTGTTGTCCACTCTAGTATCACGTCAATTATATCCCTTTGTCCGGGATTATAACTCACACGTGTAACCCGTGTTCCTTTAATCATTTAATTTCATCGAGGTTTAATGTACCCCAATATATCTCATTTAAGGTCCATTTATGTCATTGGAACCAAAGAATGCATAGCCCAAGGCCTGGGAAAAGATTTTTTTTTTTTTTTTTTTCAAAATCTGTCAAAGCGTACCGGTACACGCTCAATGAACCTCACCGTACCGGTACGCATACCTGTATGGTTTGCCTTCTGGACCTCGCTGTACCGGTACGCTGTGCCCATTTTTTTCCTGTTTCACCTGTGTACGTTTCAAATCCAATTTTAATCATTCCAATATCATCTCAAACATACATAATGATGTTATTCACATAAAACTTGATATCTACAAGTTCTATTACAAGTCATTTACACGGTTAGATGTCAAAATGGAATAAAACCTAAGTTTTACACAAAACTTGTTTTCAAAAGCCACAAACCGGCTTTTCTTCACTCTCGAGGCCCCGAATGTGTGTCATCTACTAGAATATGCTCCACACCTGAAATGTGTTTCCATATAGGGTGAGCCAAGTCTAGTAGAGTATTTCCTAAAAGGGCTACTCCCTACCTGAGTGCATATGAATGTATACATGCAACAACACACAACCCATATCCATTCCAATGCAAGAATATGTAATTCATGCTGGAATCTATCGTGTCATGCCATAAAATGAGATGAGACTCACTTATGCACTTTACCCCGAGTATTCACCGACTCCCACAATACAATACAGTGCCAATGTGTAATTTAAACCGTCATCTATGTTACACATCAAATGACATTTTCAAAACTAGGGGTCTTTCTTGGGGTGGGTATTCATGGATTTACACCAACGACACCTAGTCGACCCAGAATTCATGGACTACCACCAACAGTTTTGCGTATACCGACACACTTTATGAGCTCTTATACCAACAGAGTGCGAATCCAATCACTGGGCCTTTCACCCGAGGAATATTCTATCCCTTCTTACTAACCTTGACCCAATTTTTCATAAAACTATGCGACTAAGTCTAATCATCGATCCAACATTCCCAAGTCCACTCGTCATACACCAAATGAGGTGAATACGACAACCATGCACACACACCCTCAATATGCGATGTCTCCGTGCAAATGCAATGTAATGAACCAGAGCCCATCAATGTCATGTCCCACATGTAATGAATGTCATATGGACAACTTAAATCACACATTTTACATATCTCATGGCAATTTATTTCTTATGTACATAATTACCAATTTCATCACAAGTCAATATAGCAAGGAGCATATATTAACATTTGATATTCAACTACAATTCACAACAAGCATGTTATACATAACTCATGCCAATAACACATTAAATTCTCAAGGCATAAAATAAACACATAACATGCCCACCAATGCCAATTTCCAAGAAATCACCCAATAATTTCTATACATCAACCCAAACTAGGAATTGATTTTAAGCCATTTCAATACCCATTTTCATAACCATAGTCAAATGACCTATGTTATTCCATACCCTTACCCATTCCATAATACACCCTAGGTAAGAAATCAACCAAACTAGGAGAAACTCTGCCTCTTGAAACGTGAAGAACACATAAGGAAGCTCCAACACTTCAACTCGAACTCTAATCCAAGCCTTCCCAAAATCCTATTTTTTCAACCTTGGGTGAAAACCCTCATTTTTGGTATATAGGCGTAGCCCTCGACGAGGAGACCGACTTTAACTCTTGGCCCGAGTAGATCCGAGCACCGTGGAGTTGTAGATCGTAGAGAGAAGGTTGATGATCCAAACTCTTTCCCTCTCTTCTTCTATCGGCTAATGGCTGGACAAAGAATAGGGGAAAAATCTGATTTTTTTTCCCTATTTATACTTCTTAATACTTGGCCCACAATCCACCACACCGCCCTCTTTTTTGCGGGTCCATTTTTGCTCTAAAACGATTAAATTTCGTCCCGGTTTAAGTTTAAAATATTTTTATTTTTAACTTAAATAATTTTTCACCTTTTAAAATTTTATCAAAAATCTCATTTTTGGGTCACTCGAGACTCGACCGCCTCGTAAAACGTAAAAAATATAACTATCTCGGAATTCGATGAAATTGACAGAAAAACTAGATTTTGTGAGACAAATTCAATGGTGGGGTCCGTTTCGTCATTCAAGATCTAGAAAAAATCAGATTTTTAACTGGTATTGTAGCAGTAATTTACCATTTT